TAGGAGTCGTACCACCGTTCATTACACTCCGCGGCGCACCACACACCAAAGGGACCTCTTCACCCTTAACCTAAGTCATCAGCCAATCAGAAAGCGTCGATTCTTTTGCACATGGCATAAAAATCGCGGGTCTCGAGCATGTGAGTAGCTCGCTGACTCCTGTCAACGACCGTTGGTTGACCATTGAAGCCCATACAGTGCACAGGCTGGTTTGGATTGTACTGTACAGCTCAACAAATCGGCACGCTGAGTGGGCATGGTTGCCATGTGCTGGACTGCGCTGCGCTGTAATGCTAGCATTGTGCGACTCGCTCGCAAAATCAGGCAGCCCTGATTTCATTTTGCCCTGCTTCCAGTAAATCATGAAGTGCAATCTAGTACAAATCAGCCTCACGTTCTCGTTATATTCCAATATTCCAGCAGGTACTGGTAGACTAGTATTCCAGTTGATTTTTTTGAGACAAACCCTGCTGACCGCCAAAAGCGAACCTGATTCAAAGTCCACGCATCAACAGTCTGTTGATAGTTGCACGAGTCGGGACTGACGGGAGTCGGTTGAAAATCGTTACTAGCACCAGATCGCCGTCAACTTTCCCGGGGGGAATAAACGTCCAGCGGTGCAAAGAAACGCCGGATCCAGCACTTTCCCTGGCGCATTCGTCGTACTGTACCTACTCTCAATGCGGTTCAATAAGGTGGCGCACGCAATAGAACTGTAATTTCAAACATATGAAATGTTAGGGTAGGGTTTCAGGCATAACGAGAGACTGGGGCACTCCAAAAGAACGACGGTGTCCCAGAACCTATAACCACATCGGCAGGTAGATCTCGCCTTGAAGAGGGTGTGACTTCAGGCTGCTGCTGGTTCCTCAGGGACTCCCTGAGATGTCGAACGCCATAAACTCGGAGTTTATACAGGCTGTATATACACAGATTACTATCAGCAATTTTGCTACCGTAGCTTGAGTGACTCTTGTCCCCTCTCCTCTTCATTCTTCAAAGCTTTGACGCTTGAGTGCAGTTGGCACACGACCCTGGCGTACGACGAACTCCAGAAGTGTTAACAATGATTATGGACGTTTCCCATCCAGCGAGCGGAGAGCATTCCGGCGAGGAATCCTCCTCGCACAAGCTGAATGATCTCACTTCGGCGAGGCTGGGAGTAAAGGGTAATGCGGGCGTGCAGAACCTCTGCAACGGATCTGCCAGATCTGGAATAAATGTCGCTCTGAAACAAGCGCTCCTCGCGCTCGGAAATCTTCTCACGCACCTTCTGGAGGACAGGCTGCAAAAAGCTGACGGAAACCGTCAACATGACGGGCAGCCGTCCGCCTACCCACCTCCGGCTGCTTACTATAGCCCCAACCCCACCTTGTCTGCTACAGCGCTTGGAGGTCCTGGGTTCGAATCCTGCGGCCAGGCTGATAACGGGCAGATTTCTGAGCAAGGGAACCAGAATCAAGGGCTGGAAACGGAGTTACTACTACATCTTGCCCGTGTGGCGAGAATCCTGACCCCACAGTTGCCACCAGTTACCTCAGGTACTACTCAGAACCGAGCCCATTTTGATGTGGATTGGCCGCAGGAGAAACACCGACATAATCGACGACGCAGGTCTTTTAGCTGTGGTTTTAAGACACCTGCTAATACTCCTGGACGAAGATCACGTCTGTCACAGGGAGCTGAAAAGAAAGCACAAGCAGAGGCAGCAGCAGCAGCAGCGGAGGGACAGACTGCATTGCAGCCCCAAGACCAGAAAACCCAGCAACAGAAGCAGCAGCAGCAGCAGCAGCAGCTGCAGGAACAACACCCCCAGCAGCAGCAGCAGCAGCAGCAGCCGCAGCAGCAGCAGCAGCAGCTGCAGGAACAACACCCCCAGCAGCAGCAGCTGCAGTGGAAGCAGGAGAAGCGCAAGTCCCCACCTCCCTCTACTCCTTTTCCCAAATACCGCGGAGTGCGGCAGAGACAGGCAGGCCACTGGGTGGCAGAAATAGAGGACACAGCTAACAATGTGCGCAGGTGGCTGGGAACATTTTCCACCCCCGAAGCTGCTGCCCGTGCATTCGACAAAGCTGCCCGAGAGCTCCGCGGGCCTCGGGCAAAGACGAATTTTCCGCTGCCCGAGGAGCAGGCGGGCAGTGGTGGAGAGAGGGATTATAACAGGGAAAGGGCTGTAAGGAGAAGGCTCCCTAAACGAGGTGTGGATGTACGTGGGGGTTTTGATTCTGCTGGTGGTGATAAGGATGATGGAAATGTGGGTGGGATGTGCCATGGTGGTGTGGGTGGGGAAGAGTCGTCATGCCCTAGAAATGATGCACCCGTATGGGAAGGGTCTTGCAATGTCAGCATGAATGGAGAAGAATCAAAAGGGGAGCCCGGTTCTGCAAGGAGTGTCGATGGGAAGGAGCAGGAGGAGCGGGTCCGGGAGCTGGAAAGAGAAGAAGCCGAGGAGGGGAGTGCAGAGGGGGGTGGGGAGGAAAATGATGGAGAGGAGGATGGAAGGGAGGATGAGGACCATTATGCACGTGGATGCTTCATGCATCTGGATTCATTCGAAAGTGCGCAGGCAAATGCAGGGAACACATTCTTGACGGCTCTCGACTCCAGCGAGAGTGCATGTGCGGCTGCAGTTAATCTCAACGGAACGGCATGGGCATGTCCTCTTGCAGAACCAGCTTACCCTCCTCTTACCAGCTGTGAAATCACGGCTCTTAGCACCCGGATTGCTGCCCCTGTAGCTCCGGAGATCGCACGTGGAAAGCGTTTGCTGCAAGAGAAGGAATTGGAGATGGGGGGAGCAGGATATTTGGCAGCTTTGATTGGGGATGCCCGTAATGCCTCAAATATCTCAGATGGAGAGCCTTTTCTGCTTCGGAATGCTCTGGAAGAGACACGGGTCACGGCAGGAACAAGCAATCTGGCTTCGCTGATTGGGGATGCTCTCGAAGGGTCAATGGTCAAAGGAGGAGACGATCGGGCAGAGCTAATCCGCGATGAGTTTGCGTTCCCGAATGGCTTCCCAAATGGCTTCCCGAATGGCTTCCCGAATGGCTTCCCGAATGGCTTCCCGAATGCCTTCCCGAATGCCTTCCCGAATGCCTTCCCAAATGGCTTCCCGAATGGCTTCCCAAATGGCTTCCCAAATGGCTTCCCGAATGGCTTCCCGAATGGTTACTCTGAGAAGACGCAGCTACACTCACATGAGTTTGGGTGTGCAGGGAACAGGAAGCCGGCAGGGCATTCTGGAGAGAAAGGGGAGGGAGGGGAGCGTAGGGAGAAGGCGTGGAAGGAAGGAGAGGAAGTGATGCAAGGGGATGCAGAGGAGTGGGATGTGGTTCCGAGCCACATCCAGGAGGTTGCTGCTGCTGCATCTTGTGAGTCAGTCAATGCTGGGATGGACACTTGGCTACTGGAGGACATAATGCCGCTTGATGGATGACTGCAGGGTACGACTGTGGAGGGTGTGACTGTGGAAGTTGTGACTATGGAGGGTGTGGCTCCAGAGGGTGTGACTGTGAAAGCTGTGACAGCGGGTGCTGCAGAGGATGATGATGTTCAGGAGTGAAGCATCACTGGCTGCTATGGCAATGCTGGTGTTCGTGTGTCTGTGTGGCGAAGCTGAGTCACATACAAAGTGACTTCTGAGTCGAATCAAAGGTCACCCGAGCCACATGCAGGGGGTTGCTGCAGCTGCATCTGCTGAGGCAGACATTGCTGCGCTGGACTCTTGGATGCTGAAGGATAATGTGACTCTTGATGGGTTGAATCTAGAGGGCGTGACTGTAGAGGGTGTAGCTCCAGTCAGCTTCACTGTGCATGGTGTGATTGTGGAGTGTGTGACTTAAGAGGGTGTGACTACTGCAGGTGCTGCAGAGGATGCTGCTTCTCACTGCCTGCTATGGCGATGATGGTGTTGTTGTGGCATCAGAGAATCACTTAACTCCTATACCTACATGAAAGTAAATTTTGTTTGCGTAGACTCAAAATATTCTTACTTTCATGTGACTTTGGAGGCCTTGGCCGCATGTTAGGCATATAGCAATGTAGGGCATTTGTGTTTGTACGCTAAACTCATATATAATACCGTAGTACAATTTACCCAATCTGCATGCTTGCTTCGAGCCCAATATTGCAAGAAAATATGTGCTTTCGACACGAAAAACCTCCATGAACATAATTTGGACCTTCCCTTTCGCACATGCATAATGAACCCCATTCCCCCTTCCATCCTCCCCTCCGTCATTTTCCTCCCCACTCCCCTTTGCTCTCCCTTCCTCGGATTCTTCTCTGTCCCGCTCCTTCCCATCCACACTCCTGGCTCCCCTTTTGATTCCGCACCGTTCATGCTGACATTGCAAGACCCTTCCCATACGGGTGCATCATTTATAGGGCATGACGATCCTTCCCCACCCACACCACGTACATCCACACCTCGTTTTGGGGGGCTTCTCCTTACAGCCCTCTCACTGTCATAATCCCTCTCTCCACCACTTCCCGCCTGCTCCTTGGACAGCAGATTATTCATCTTTGCTCGAGGCCTGCGGAGCTCTCGGGCAGCTTTGTCGAATGCACAGGCAGCAGCTTCGGGGGTAGAAAGGTTTCCAAACCACCTCCGCATATTGTTAGCCGTGTCCTCTATTTCTGCTACTCAATGGCCTGCCTGTCAATGCCGCACTCCGCAGTGTTTGGGGAAAGGAGTAGAGGAAGGTGGGGACTTGCGTTTCTGCTGCTGCTGCTGCTTCTGCTGGGGGTGTTGCTGCTGCTGCTGTTGCTGGGTTTACTGGTCTCTGCAATTGCGATACTAAGCTCTACCTCATCTTCACAGCTACCCAAGCATCCATTTCCCCGGTTGTAGCATTGGGCTTCTCATATAACTATCTGGGTGTTATCCATTAGCCCATCCTCATGCCTTGTCAACGATACAAACAAGCACGAACATATGGCCCCTCGCAACACCCATCACTGCTGCTGCAGTAAACATCTCTTTCAGGAGTAGAAAGCTAAACGAAGCAGCCAGAGCTGCAGTGCCAGTGCAGCTCCACTGCAGCACCTGCTGCTGGCACACATTCTACAGTGACCTCCTTTGAAGCCACACCCTCCACACTCACACCGTTAGGAGCCACACCCTCCACACTCACCGTTAGGAGCCACACCCTCCACACTCACACCATTAGGAGCCACACCCTCCACACTCACACCCTTGGGAGCCACACCCTCCACACTCACATCGTTAGGAACCACACCCTCCACACTCACACCCTTGGGAGCCACACCCTCCACACTCACACCGTTAGGAGCCACACCCTCCACGCTCACACCCTTGGGAGCCACACCCTCCACAATCACACCGTTAGCACACTCACACCCTTGGGAGCCACACCCTCCACACTCACATCGTTAGGAACCACACCCTCCACACTCACACCCTTGGGAGCCACACCCTCCACAATCACACCGTTAGGAGCCACACCCTCCACGCTCACACCCTTGGGAGCCACACCCTCCACACTCACACCCTTGGGAGCCACACCCTCCATAGTCGCACCATTAGGAGCCACAACCTCCATAGTCACACCCTCCACAGTCACACCCTCCACAGTCACGCCCTCTAGAGTCAACCCACCAAGCGGCACTAGGTCCTCCAGCATCCAAGCATCCAGCACAGCATTGCCAGACTGCGCAGAAAACTCCTGGATGTGACTCAGCATCGCATCCCACTCCTCTGCATCCCCTTGCATCCCTTCCTCTCCTTCCTTCCTCAACTTCTCCGCACGCTCCCCTTCCTCTCCTTTCTCTCCAGACCGCCCTGACAGCTTCTCTCCAGACTACGGTGTTCTATATGAGTTTAGCGTACAAACACTAATGCCACACCAATACCATCATCGCCAGGTAGAGAACAGTATCATGACCATCATCGCCATAGCAGGAAGTGAACAGCATCATCACCATCATCTACACACTCCTGAACAGTATCATCCTCTGCAGCACCTGCTGCTGTCACCCCCTCTAAAGTCACATCTTCCACTATCACACCCTGCACAGTGATGCCGACTGGAGACACACCCTCTACAGTCACGCCTTCTAGAGTCAACCCATCAAGAGCCACTTTATCCTTCAACATCTGAGAGTCTAGCGCAGCAATGTCTGTCTCAGCAGATGCAGCAGCAGCAACCCCCTGCATGTGGCTCGGGTGACTTTTGAGTTAACTCAGAAGTCACTTTGCATATGATTCAGCTTCCCCACACAGACACACGAACACCAGCATTGCCAGAGCAGCCAGTGATGCTTCACTCTTGAACAGCATCATCCTTTGCAGCACCTGCTGTCACACCCTCTGCAATGACACTCTCTGCTGTCACACATTTCACAGTCACACCCTCTGGAGCCACACCCTCCATTGTCACACCTTCCACAGTCATACCCTGCAGTCATCCATCAAGAGGCATTATGTCCTCCAGTACCCAAGTGTCCATCCCAGCATTGCCTGACTCAGAAGACGCAGCAGCAGCAACCTCCTGCATGTGACTCAGCACCACATTCCACTCTGCGTCCCCTTGCATCCCTTCCTCTCCTTCCTTCCTCGACTTCTCCCTACGCTCCTCTTCCTCCCCTTTCTCTCCAGACCGCCCTGCTGGCTTCCTGTTCCCGGCACACCGAAAGTCATCTGCCGTTTGGGAACCATTAGAAAGGCCATTTGGGAAGCCGTTTGGGAGCTTAAGCTTGTCTCCAATCAACTCTGCTCGATCATCTTCTCCTCCTGCGACCAGGGCTTCTTCTCCTCCAATCAGTGCTGCCAGATTTCTTGATCCTCCCGCGACCCGTGACCCTTCCAGAGCATTCCCAAGCACCGAAGGCTCCACGTCTGTGATTTTCAGAACATCGCCGATCAGCACTGCCAGATTGCTTGCTCCTCCCGGTACCGGTCCCTCTTCCAGAGCACCCCCGAGCAGCAAACGCTCTCCATCTGCCATCACCGAACCATCAGGGGTATTCCTAATCAGCTCTGCTAGATTGCTTGCTCCTCCCACGACCCGTGTCTCTTCCAGTGATTCCCCAAGCAGCAATGGCTCTCCACCTGCAATTTCTGGCGCATTAGGGGCATCCCGGATCAATGCTGCTAGATCTCCCGCTCTCACCAATTCCTGCTCTAAATGCTTTCCACGTGCGATCTCAGGAGCTACAGGGGCAGCAAGCTGCGAGCCAGGAGCCATGATCTTATAGCTGGCAGGAGAAGGGTAAGCTGGTTCCGCGAAAGCACATGCCCATGCCGCTCCACTGGGATCCCTTGCAGCTGCACATGCACTCGCTCTTGAGTCGAGAGCCACCATGCATGTGTTCCCTGCATTTGCACGCGCACTTTCACTTGGATTCAAATGCATGAAGCATCCAGGTACAAAATGATCCTCATTCTCCCTTCCATCCTCCCTTCCATCCTCCCCTCCATCATTTTTCTCCCCACCCCCCTCCGCACTCCCCTCCTCGGCTTCTTCTCTGCCCTGCTCCCAGTCCCGCTCCTCCTGCTCCTTCCCATCCACACTCCTCGCAGAACCCGGCTCCCCTTTTGATACTGATCCATTCATGCTGACATTGCAAGACCCTTCCCATATGGGTGCATCATTTCTAGGGCATGACGATCCTTCCCCACCCACACCACCATGGCACATTCCACCCACATTTCCACCATCCTTATCACCACCAGCAGAATTAAAATCCCCACGTACATTCATTACTCCTTTTGAGGGTCTTCTCCTTACAGTCCTCTCCCTGTCATAATCCCTCTCTCCACCACTGCTCACCTGCTCCTCGGGCAGCGGAAAATTTGTCTTTGCGCGGGGCCCGCGGAGCTCCCGGGCAGCTTGGTCGAATGCACGGGCAGCAGCTTCGGGAGTGGAAAATGTTCCGAGCCACTTGCGCACATTGTTAGCTGTGTCCTCTATTTCTGCCACCCAGTGGCCTGCCTTTCTCTGCCGCACTCCGCGGTATTTCGGGCAAGGAGTAGAGGGAGGCGAGGGCTTGCGTTTCTGCTGCTTAAACTGCTGCTGCTGTTGCTTGGGTTGTTGTTGTTGTTGCTGCTGCTGCTGCTGTTGCTGGGTCTGCTGGTCTTGGGGTTGCAAGGGAGTCTGTTCCTCCGCTGCTGTTGCTGCCTCTGCTTGTGCTTTCTTTTCAGTTCCCAGTGAGAGACGTGACATTCCTCTAGGAGTGTTAGCAGGTGTCTTAAAAACACATCTCAATTGTCTGCGCCGTCGATTATGTCTGCGTCTCTCCTGTGGCCAATCTACTGCAAAATTGAGTCGATTATGTCGATTCTGAGTGGTACTACTAGTAGCGGCAACTGGTGGCACCTGTGGGGTCAAGATTCTTGCCACACGGGCAAGGTGTAGTAGTAACTCCGTTTCCAGCCCATGATTCTGGTTTTCTTGCTCAGAAAACTGCCCGCCGCTATCAGCCTGGTGGCAGGAATCGAACCCAGGATCTCCAAGCGATGGAGCAGACAAGGTGGGATTGGGGCTACGAATGTAAGCAGCTAGAGGTGGGTCGGTGGACGGCTGGCCGTCAAGATTACGGGTCCCATCTGCTGTTTGCAGCCTGTCCGCCAAAAGGTGCGTGAGAAGATTCGAGAGCGCGAGGAACGCTTGTTTGAGAGCGACAATCAATCCTGAATCAGAATCAGCTCCGTTGCAGAGGTTCTGCACGCCCGCGTCACCTTTTTCTCCCAGCCTCGCCGAAGTGAGATCATTTAGCTTGTGCGAGGAGGTTTCCTCGCCGGAATTTTCTCCGCTCGCTGGGTGGGAAACATCCATAACTTATGAACGTTTAACTCTTCTAGAGGCTTTTTGAATAATGAAGAGGAGAGGGGACACGAGTAACGAGATTGCCGAATGTGAGTAAACAGCCTGTATGAACTCTGAGGAAAACCAGCAGAAAGACGCACCCTCAATCGACTTTTCATGGGGACACCGTTGTTCTTTTGGAGTGCCACAATCTTTCGTTATCCCTGAATACCCTACCCAACCACTTCATATTTTGAAATGAGCGCTTCTAATGCGTGATCCACCTCATACCGCATTCAGTCGAACTGCGGTATATCTTTCACCGTCCTGCGTTGAAAGTGGGTGCACTTCGACGATCGTCGTAGTGCTGGGACGTGTTGGGAATGTGCTAGATGCGACCTTATTCCTGGGGAAGAGTTGACGGCGACCTGGCGCTAGCGATTTCCAAGTTCGTCCGCTGGCAGTCTCTCGTGCCGCACGACAGACTCTGTTGATGCGTGGACTTTGAATCAGGTCTACGATAACAGCCAGATTTTAGCGGTCAGCAGGGTTTGTTTCAAAAAGCTCAAGTGGAATGCTACTAGTTTACTTGTTGGAATATTGGGATATCAACGGGAATATGAGGCTGCTTTGTACTAGATTGTGCTTGAGGGTTGTACTACTACTTGTAGATTGGGCTCAAATTGAGCAGGGCAAAATGAAAAAGGTGCTTTTTGGTAGGGCTACCTGATTTTGCGAGCGAGTCGCACAATGCTAGCTTTACAGCACAGTCTCGCACAACGGAGAATTTCATAAATCACATGCATTCTGCGCGCGGATTCGTTGAGCCATACACGCCGAGCCAGACTATACACTGTGTGGGTTTCAAAGGTCAACCATAAGTTGTTGACGGGAGTCAGCGATCTCCTCTCCCATTCGACAACGCGATTTGTTTTGTTGTGCCATGTGCAAAAGCACCGATTGGCTGGTGAGTTGGCTGGTGTATTGGTCTGTGGTGCGGTGCGGAGTTTTCCTGGGTCAACTTTCTGTTCACTTGGCCAACGAGCGATGGTACGACCCCCGTCAACATCGACACAGGTGTGCCCGTAAACGGACATCGTCAACCCTCCCGTAAATTGTCAACGACTCAACAATACAGCTAATGCTCATTTGAGCCCCCCATCGTTGCCTTGAGCATTGGGCTTATAATTGATTTTTGCAGTTCGTAAGCTTCGTCAACGTCGCAGCTAGCAAAAAAAAGGGCTTATAAAATTCTCAAAAGTTAAGCGTTGACATTTGACGTTTGTCTCTTCGTTACCATTGGTTCATATCATTGCATTGACAGTTGACGTCGGTCAATATTCGTTACAATTGGTTCGTAATCATTGCAACTTGCTCGAGGGGCTTGTAAACTGGGTGCAACTGGCCGGCCCCAAAAACACGCGTGCAGTATTTCTGAAATGTGCAGGGAAAATTCGCGTGCATTACCCAAGCATCATCTGTACATCAAGCCGCATTCCTCTGGGCACACCTAGGGTCATAGACCAGCGCTCGTATGAATAACGTCACTGAATTATCTCAGGTAGAGACCTTCAACCGTCTGTACATGATGAATGCTATGAATCTGTTACGGGTGCAATTGAACGATTGAAGATTGCACTAGTGAGTAAAACGAGTACAAAATGTGAGTGAACATGTGGGCAAACATTTATAGCGAAAACAACAAACGGCAATGTGGTGCGTGCGAACTAGCTAGTGCGATGCTAGCAGCGAGGTTCAGGCTAGTCCCAAGCGTAGGCCAACTCAGCTGTGTCGAACACTGCAAGGTTTGGCAAAAGTGGCGTTCAAATGTGGCGAACACCGTTAGAAGTAATGGGCAAAGAAACGGCTAATCTTGTACACATTGCTGAGGTTCTCAATAAGAATATTCATTTTTTTCTTTACTGAAATCCTAAACCAGGGTGAAATATTCGATTAGAAAAAAAAAACAAAAAAAATCAATAGAGTGTGGAGGGAGTAGTATAATTTCCATAAAAATACTAAACATTAACAAAAACAATTGTGTGTACATGACATTTTTTTTCAGCCTTTATTAGATTTTCCCAATTGTGTAGAATAAGGTCTACTATATGGCTCCGGATAAAGTTTTTTGTTTTGTTTTGTTTTTTTTTTGTTGTTGTTGTTTTTTTTTAAAACAGAAACCGAAACCGAAATTTAAAACAGTGAACCAATCTCCAACTTGAAAGAGAGCTTGTCGAGTGAAACAATTTTCAAACCAAACCGACAAGTTTGCACTGTTTCATTGAGAGCGTTTGAACAGATCCAACAAATCTGATTGGTTCCCACCAAAGCCGAAGAAAGGAGCACAACACGTCAGGCGTCGCATCTCTGTTTGGGGAGCCGCAGAGTAGAAGCACTTCAATCTTCTTGTCACGTCCCTGCGGTTTTTTGCCTAGCTTGGGATTTAAGTTGGGCATGGGTGAAGTACTACTAGTTCTTCCGTTCATGTTTTCGTGCTTCTTAGTTATCAGTTGCTTGTCAAGCCATATAGCCCTCAACTTAGGCTGTTGTTACCGCAACTTAGACGCGTAGTGATTATATGGCATGATTGCGCAGTAATTGTGCCGTTTAGATCGCCCTCTCGCGGCCTTCCTATCCCGTCCGTCCAGATGCCGCCCCGTCGCCCGTCGAGTCGCGATCCTAACGAGGCCCGTCGCCCGAAATGTCGACTCCATCGACGTCGCCCTCGCTATCTCCCGTCGCGGCCCTCCCCTTAGTTCGCGTCGCCTCGCTATCTCTTCCCTCCCATCCCATCGCCTCGCTATCTCTTGTCAGAATCCCAACCACTAGACCACTGAGATAAAATGGCTTTTCAAGTAGCGGGTCAGTGCGCCCGTAACCCCTCCAGGACAACGAGCCTGTAACCCTTCCCTAGGATCAATCGGGGATCACCAGTGGACCTCTGACACCCCTCCGCACTGGGATGCCCGAAGTGTACACACTGGGATTCGAACCCGAGACCTTCGCTCTGATACCATGTCAAAATCCCAACCTCTTTATTGACACTATAGTAAATGTACAATGGATACAATGCATATCCGGAGACATAGTGTCTGGAAAGACATGCAGGCTAATCCTATTATGAGGCCTACAAATAGGCCTCTGTGATGTCTCAATGGTCCTCTCCCAAGTAGGCAAAGTCAGCTGCCGAAAGAGAAGTCACCTCGGGTGGTGCGTGGTTGACGCCCTCGGTAAAACGAATTTGTGCACGACGACAAACAGTGCGAGCCTGCTCACGTTGATGGACCAGAGAAATCCGTTTGTAGAAGTTGGTCTCAAACAGCTGGGGAAGAGAATCTGTGGCACCACTCAAGTCGCGGAGTTGTGAAGCCCCTTTGCGGCTGCATTGGCGAAGGAAGTTGTTGAACGAAGAGCCGAAGCAACCGAAGGTTTCGATGACAAGGGGAAACAGTTTGATGTCTGGATGGTCACGAAGTGCTGCAGCATAGTGGGTGGTCTTCTCACTTTCACGAGTGGCTGCTGCTGAGCCAATCACCGTAGCTGCGTTGGAGTGCGGAAACCTCTTTTGTGGATTAGCAACAGAAACATCCAAGGCCCACGTGGTACCAGAGCTAATGTCGCGGCACGTGATGTCTGTGCGGCGGCCAGGCAGGAGATGCTGGTCTTCCATCTGCGCAGAGATCCAAGATCCAAGGCAATGCGATGAACTTCTCGTTTGATTGCGTCGTGCACCTTAGTAGGCTCGTTGTTGCTAGGGCAGCGAAGGACATGAGAATGGATGGAAGGATCGGTGAACGGGGAGTTGCAGGTGCAGGTGGGTGAAGATGAAAGGTGAGGAAGAGGAAGGCCTAAGCGGATAGCTGCTGCAATGCGCCACTCGGTCTCTGAAAGCTGCATGTGCGGGGAGGATGGAGCCACAGTGAGCCAGCCACCTGCATGGGCCTTGCAAAGAGGTT